GCCGAAATAAATTTTGTATTTCATTGTGGCCAGAAACACAATTCCAAATATTTCAAAATATGTTACACAGGCAGAAAACCAGTTACAAAGCATTATTCAAGGATATATGACATACATTGAAAAAATAATAGTTTGCATGCATTGCTCCTAAAAATAATGACTGACAAGCAATTTGTACTAACCTGCACCCAACGAAAATCACACCTGTAATATACCAATATGGGCAATCTTCATGACCAGAATTCCTTTAAAAATATCACATAGTGCAATCAATGACATTCTTCAAAATGTGCAACGAACTGCCAGTCGCACGTTAATATTTTTCACAAAATTTATCTTAAACTGCTTACTTGTTTGGCGCCAACTGTCAATGCTTGATTTTTAACTTTTTCACAAATACATACAAAGCTATCAAAATATTGAGTTTCGGGTACCCCCGCCCCCCGCCAACAAAATACTGCTCATTTTCTACACAGAAAAATTTACAATGACAGAGAAATTTCAAAAGATTTCAGTACCTTCTAAACATCTGTGTTATTAATAAATTTGACCGGTGCCATCATTCGAATATGTCCCCTCTTCCCTTCCACCCTAGGGTCGTTTTTTCTCTCTAAGAATCGGTTCAATTATTTACCTGTATGCAGTTAACTTAATTATATGTATACCAGTACTCACCTTCTTCGCAAGTAAGGCTTGGCGTACGTGCGGTCTAAAGAAGGGATGATGCTTACTTGATATAGACCGAAAGAAATATTTCCTAAAATGTCTGAAATTCCATGCATATTTAACATCTCTATTGTTTGTGACAGGTCTATATTTTTCGGATAGACCTGTTTAATCAAAGGAAAGTCCGTTATGAGGTCTATCTTTTGCACGTGCCCAGGTCTGTTCTAGTCAGACAGACCCGGTCATGAAATACACGTGAAAAAATAGACCTGCCATTGCGCAGACAACAAAAAATGAAATGCAATCAAAAATTAAAAATTGAAATAAAATGTAAATAATTTTCATAATGCTCATGTCTTACAAAATCTGGATACATTTTTTTATATTAATCAATGTTTATTGAATGCACTTAGCAATTATTCCAGCATCCCTATATTAAATCTTTGAATAAAAAAATGGATAGCATATCAAAGTTAAGACACATTTAACATTTATTTAATCGCGTCATTTTTCAAAGTAATAGTAATCTAAGTGGTTCTTCTGTCATTAAGTTCACGATATAACAAAATGGACACTTCAAGTTCATATCAATGAAACTATCAAGCAGTAATCACAGCATACTTATTACGATTTTAAATTGTTAGTAAAGTTATAAGTGATTTAGTATAAAAAATTTATGATGAAAGATCATATTTTATTCTAGAACACTTTATAATCTGCTATATGAAATATTGTTTTGGTTCATGTATCTCACACAACAATATACATATGTAAGTATTTCGTGGTCTGCTGGGTATCCGGACATTGCCCTTCGGACAGTTGCCCCTCGGAAGTTTGCCCCTTTTTTGAAGTGGCTGACATTTATATCATTGGAATGTTTCCATTGGCATATAAAAAACTATACACGAGATGACAAGTGACAAGTTACAACAGCAGAAAGGGGGGGGGGGGGCGGCAACTGTCCGGGGCAAATGTCCTAGAATCTGCATTGTCTAATACGAAATACTATCAACATAATTATTCATTCTTTAACATACTTTCTATTACAGATCTATTAACTTTATTATTGACAAATTGCACATTATGCTTTCTTGATTATTATTTTAAAGGGAAAAGCAAAAAAAGCAAAATATATATTGTATTTAAGCAGAACGTTGTTAACAGCTTACCTGTATATGCGTTGTGTTAAAAATAATATTTGTGCTCAAGCTAATATAGTTTTACGGTGTGTAATTTGGATATCGGCCTCTTTCATCGATCTTTCTGTTTAGGAAAGACCAAGTCACGAATTTCATGAAACACCTCTAGCGCTACGCGCTCTCGGTGTCACATGAAATTCGTGATGAACAGAAAGACCTCGTACTCGGTCGATATCCTATACGTATCTATAAAACGCCCCCTCCCCACCAAAAAAAAAAAAAAAAAAAAATAAATAAATAAAAAATAAGATAAAATAACACATAAATAAAATAAAATTAAACTTACTACATGTACTACATTGTACTCTTTTTTTATAGTAGCTGTCACTTATATCCCTTTGAAAATAAATATTTCATATCAAAGTTATGCCCATCCAAGTGAAGAGATAAAAGTCATGAAAGTTAAAATTGAGCCTTATATGTTTCCAATTTCATGTCCTACTTTATATTATATTCAATAAATGACGGGCACATTAAATTTTTTATAAATATCTTTCAGAGTGCTCAGGGTGAATGGGACAGTTGTTAAATATTTTAGGCAATTTTGTATTTTTTGTCCATTGTCTAGTATTTGCCAATCACCATTAAAAAAATCAAATGTTTGAAATATACATGTATATATCTAATTAAACACAACTTGACAAAGATGTAAGTGAACATAATGTCCGTCACTTTAAAGATATATACTGTGCTCAAATTTCATATAAGAAAATATTGATTATCGTAACACAGTCCCTTTGTAAATGTAAAATAAACATGTTTTGACGCTCAAACATAGCAGATATATTTTGTTTGAAATCCTATATACTATAGACCTTTTTACGATTCAATTCTTTCCATAGTAACGAATTTTACATTTTACGCATACGCATTCTGCGTAGGACAATAACTGAAGAATACATTTTATCAGTACTCAACAATTACATTATTATTTTTATACATTACCCCTAAAGTTGTTATGTCACCCCGAAAGATAACTTTAAGCGATAAGTACGTAAAACATGAATTGTGATTTATAACAGATATAAGAAATATATTAACAATTCCATGATCCAAAAAGGCATACAAAAGTCCTCTGTTTAATTTATCATTAGACGACTTCATCATCAATGATTTAAATTGATACATAAGGTGTTTAAAATAAAATTGTGTTACCCATATAGTGCATAATATCACACAATTTGTTATGTGGATTTTGCAAAATGGTTAGTGTCATACCGATGGACACGGGTGACCTGGTGTGTTTTTTTAAAGCTTGTTTAATTATGATAGTCGTAATATACTTGTACATATGTTATCAATGTTTGGAATTAATTTTGTAAAGTAACACATAATGTGCTCTGCATTTACCTAGATTCTGAATATGATACAAAGAACTGGATAAAATGTGTGTTATTTCGCTACTCATTTGGAAAATGTTCTTAATTTCTTAAGATTTTGTGAAATTATATATTTTTAAGATTTTTAAATTTTCTATTTAGCATCGCAGTAAAATCGGACGAAGGATTAAATCAGGTAAATTGAAAACTTAAATTATGTCCATAAACATGCATAATCACATGTTCTGACTTTTTGCAAGTTGTTCGGAATTGTCTATGAACTTCTATTACATTTCTAAGTAGAGCGATGCTCTTTTGTCCATGCGCAAGTACGAGATCACATTCTTAAAACTTTGCATTTACGTATAACCAAATTGGTGTTTTTATCGTTTCTTTATTTGACACAATAAAAAATTTAATACAGTATCATTGAGTAACAACCCCGACAAGTACTACAAATTTAATAATATGTAAATATTAAATTTAATTTCAAATGTCTATTTTCACTTAATATGTATTATTAAAATACATAAGAGTTAACAAACAAATAATTTACAATAAACATGTTCCGGTTGTAAAGTCCTGAAGACCCATACCAAAACATGTTATGATAAAGATTCATTACAATCTTAATGGCATACTTCAAAGAGACGACGTTCAGATTTATTGCATGAAGATACAGGTAATATCATAAAGATGATAATTTTTTTAATGTAAATATTTTGCGGGATTTTATTACTTACCTAGTTTTAACAAGTTGTGGAGGTTTTCTTACTTATTCAATGGTTATAACATTTAAAATTTAACTCGTTTTTGTGTTTGTCAATTACAATTTCAATATTTCAAATAATATCATATCACATTTACTTTGGTAAATGGACTCAATTTAATCAGTCTAGTAAATCGCATATAAAAAATAATATAAAGCACTAAATTGGTTAGTGTTTATAACTAAGCATTTATTTTAAATTAAAATGAGCACAGTATGTGGATTTCTGCTGATCCACATGTGCACTTGAATCCGATAGTGAAGGCAAATACAAAGGAAAGTCATTTAAAAGACAAGTTTTAACTTTTTTGCATTTTTTTTAAATTCAGAGCTTCTTTTGAAAAAATCAATACGTGATTCTACTTTCCTGACTTTCCTGTATATTTACCTTTTTTTATTTTAAATTTTTATTCAGTCTTTGTAGAGATATTCTTTCCGGCGTGGGTTCTTCTATGTCCAAATAGAATTTCATTTGGTTTCAAACATTTTTTTACAGACAGTTACGTATATTTCAACGTTAAGGCATGCATAAATGTCTATTGTATAGTGTAATGTATTTTTTATTGATAGAAACAGATCAAATATTTTCCTGCAGAAAATACGCAAATGTAAACAAAAGTTTGATTTTTTATGCAATAATATGTTGTTTTGTATAGTTTTTCATGTTCTAAACCTGATATTACGTGATTTACATTAAAAAAAAAACAAGAATAAAGATCAACAAGGCAAAGGCAACGTTCACAGGAAGCCTATGTAATATGTATAATCCTCTACCTTGTTGTACAATGTTAAATATTATATGGTTATGTTTTGTATTTTATAACTTTTGACACAATTAGATGTACATGTATCTTTCTGATATTATATTGTGTATTTGGGGCGATGGACTAGAGTTACAATACAATAAACTTGAAACTTGAAACTTGCTAATGTCATTATTAAAGCACCCACCGAACTCCTAAATAAGAGGTCGTGAATGTGAAATTTATGAGCAATATTTTCTTTTTATTCTCACCATTCAACCGGGACGTTTTATAATACCATGAGATAGCTAATAACGTTAAAGTTTGATAATTGTAATTTAAATAACTTTTACATTATACCTTATCGATGTTTGAAATTAAATTTTCTAAAGTGACAAATAGTGTTGAGTGAATTAACGTATATTTTAAATATGTATTACGAGAAACAGAATAAAACGTGTGTTAATTATTTTGGTATTTCTTAAATTCTTAAGATTTTATGAAATTACTTCAAATATTTATGTGAATTTAAATTGTGTGTTCAGTACCACAGTGAAATCGGAACGAGGATAAAGTCAGGTAAAATGAAAACATCTTCATGCTCATTGGCATGCAGTATCAGAGTTATGTTCCGAACTTTTTCAGAATGATAGTTAACTTCGATTTCATGTTTTATAAATTTCTTTAGTCTTTTATATAAATTACAGTATGTGTGGGCAATCCGAATATAAGGCAATCCGAATCACTTCATTCAATTTCTTTAAAATGAAAAAAAAAAAAGAAAAAAAAGAAAATGATATGTTTTATATGTTCCTAATGTTTCCTTGGACATAAGAGGGTAAGGTAGGGTAGGGTAGGTTAGGTTAGGTAAGGTTTGGTAAGGTTAGGTTGCAACTTTCAATATTATGATTTATTTATATGTAAAAATGCCGAGGAAAAACTGATTCATCAGATAAATAAAATGATAATAATTATCAAGTTAAATGTAAAAAGATTAAGATAGTCGTAAATAACTTTCTAGAATACCAGATAGAAGCAATACTTATGAAGCTCTTATAATGTACCAATTTTAGGTCCAAAAACATAAATTAAAAACACTACAGTTGATAAAGTTTACAGTTTGAATTGATTTTTCTATATATGAACAATGTTGTTATGGTACCCTGAACATGTTTTACCTTTATTACATCTTGTGATTCAACGAATTAGTGTCAACATAAAATCTTAATCTGAACATGTTATGAATAAACTTTGCTAGACAAGCATTGTTTGATTTTATTTACCTGTGAAATGCATACTGATTATACGGTCAATGCACGCAATATATTAATCTTCGATAGATTTTCGGTACGTTTCGTGAGATGTTCGCAAAAAGATGTGATTAAATTTAATTTGTGGCTATGAAATAATTATACTGACCGCTTTAACGCATTCGGGTAAACTAAGGGTTTATAAAATCTAAATGTCCTATGTGCTGTTAAATCGAGACCGCGTAAGTTCATGTCTTTTACTTATTTATATTTTCAACACGATGGTGGAAGTATGCTTGCTTTAATGATGATCGTATTTTTTCTAAATATGTTTTGAACTTATTTTGAATAACCTATAGAATAGTCAGACAATATTTTGGTTTTGTCAGTTCAACTGTGATACATTGATCCGTGTCTTCCTTAATATCCAGACTTAATTTTTTTCCTTCTTTTGTAAAATAAAAACAGCGATTTAAATATTACATCAATATATAGATTTTGTTTTTAATGAGGGTTATTATCAGAGTATCTGGCTTTGGCGAGATCGGAGTTTGATAACGAACTCACGAGTCCTTTGTAGATCCTTTCATATTTTCAGAGAAGTAGATAACATCTATGTCTCTGATATTATACATCATTTGAAATTTAATTTTTTTATCTATTGTTGAATACTGGTAATTTTCTGTGACTTTCACTTAAAATAACATAGCAGAAAATACCCATTGAGCCAGTCTTTTCATCTGTAACAAAAGATAATAAGTAATTCTGTTCAAAAACTGATGTAAATCTATTTAAACGGGAACCGTTTTCTGTGTTATAGTGGACTTCAAATCAGCTTAATACAATGTATTTGAATAGTATATTTGGCTTTAACGTAATAATTACATCAGCAAAGTCGTTATGGATCACACTCGCAAACACTATGGATTTCCGTTTTGTTGGGTCGTGTATACATGCAATAAGAAGAGCAAAATATGAACAGATATAAAAAGAAAGAACAAAAGGTTACTTAGTTCAAACGCGCAAAAATAACATCATTTTTAAATTAATGTTTTCATACTGGATACGAAATTTCTCATGCATAAATAAAACGTTCATATAAATTTCATAAATGTTCATACTGTGTTCTTCTCTAATGTTCTGCATCGTTCATTTGCAAACTAATTTCTCTTAAACTGTTAGATTTTTCGAAAGATAAGAGCTGAACGCTTATGAACTTCTTTATCAAATAGCAAATGAATAGCAGCTGTCACGAGTGAATACCGTAAAATATATGTTGCTACGTCATAGAGTACACTGTTCTATGAAGATAAATATTAGGCTATAGCAGTTAAGCTGCAGAGATATACTATACCATGCATTGAAGTTTGCCAAATTTCCGGCCGATGGACACTCTTATACTTCGGCCATATACTCGATCTTTGAAGAAAGCTACATGCCTACCCAAAGAACATTATAACTAAAAAAAGGAGAAGAAAGTCTGTTTCAACATTAACAACATTATAACGCTTAAAAGAAATTCCACTTGCTGTTCAATAAGTAAATGTTTATCCTTAGAAAAAATTAGTGAATATAAATCACGTTTGTGTTTTTTAGTGAGAAATATTTGTTACATGAATCCAGAAACTGTGGAATATATTAATGACAATCAAATAGGAGCTAGTTAATGATGTCAAACACGCAAAATGTTATATATTCTTTGATCTGGAATGCACACACACAATGACTTCATTCAATGTGACATGAAATATAACCCTTCTTTGGAAAATGTTAAAAATGTTTACGGTCGGATTGTGGGATTTATGAACACAACTCTAATGTTTTTCTTACTCTTGTTACTCAAAAAGTTATGCATAATGTATGTGGAAATCGAATGTGAAAACCTTGGAAAAACGAAATATGTAATTGCAGGTGACAATACTTTTAACGACATCAAACTGAGCTTACAACATTTTCAATTTGTCGTTTTAGCCGTTCTTTAGGAATTCCATTTTATCTATTTTGTTGATGATTAGTTTCGGAAGAAAATTACGATTTTATAAGGTTATGTCATAACGTCCAGGAATACGAACGATTCATATCCAATTCTTTAGTATCTGTACAAAAATGCTATTTTACAAACATAACATGGTCTGTAATTCGTACAAACTTAACTCTAGAATTTAACCCTTTTATAGTGGTTCAATAAGGACAAACCTAACAGGACCCTGATAGATTTCTATGATTTCAATGAAATTCTCAAGGTAATATTAAATGCTGTAATTGTTACATTTTAACATTTTACTTTAATTACAACTTATAGAACTTATAAGTTAATATTAGAGAATATTCATAGTTGAGAGAAACAGAAACACTTTATAAAATATTAATAGTTTAATTTGAATAAAATTTTACAACGTGTAGTTGTGGTATCAAAAAATCAATTTAAAACCATTATTAAATTTATATGGTTTATGTCAAAGTGCCATGCACCGATAAAGTCACGGCCCACTGATCCGAAAATACCCTCACTACCCTGTTGCCTCATTTATATAGAATAATGCGTTGTGGACTCAAGAGATGATGTTTATTTTTCATATACATGCATCGTTAAATTACATGTTTAGATAAGTGAAACAAACTATTTAGATATGTTCAAATGGATAACGTTATGTAACGAAGCCTTAAAATCTTCGTGATAGTCGAGTGCAAATGGTATATAAAATCTATACAATATATTATAAGAAACACTTTATTATTTGTAATTTGAAGGTTTTTTTGTTAGATTTGTTTTAATTCTACAGATGGATACAACAGAACTAAAACAATTAAACGACAATGGCCTAAATGACACGGCTAGTAAAAAATTAATTCTGAGGAAACAAAATGATGAAATGGAGGATAGTTCAGATACAGAAGTTGAAGAAAAAGTATGGTTGGAATCGGAGAAAGAAGAATTTGAGCAGGACCGCGGTGTATGGTCAAACAAAATAGAGTTTCTGTTGGCAATAACGGGTTACACAGTAGGTATAGGAAGCGTATGGAGATTTCCCATTGTTTGCAGGTAAGATATGCACGGCGTTCTCGTAATTGTAACTATCATATTGAAAAATAAAATGAAACAGCATAATGATCACGTGTCATCTGTTTTACGGGCAAATATTTTCATACTGCTGTGTTGGTAAACAAATTTCAATTAAACCGGTGAACATGTTAACCAACCGGGCATACGATAATTGATAATTGAAATCTTTCAAAGATAATAAAAAAAAAAACATTTCAATTTACTAACAACTGCATATGTTATCAATATAGATGACATGCGATGCAAAGGTAAGTATAAGCTTTATGGATATGAAATGGTATTAGCTTGCAAATGTTCTATCCTTGTCTTTCATATTTAAGTAAAGTAAGAACAATTACAAAAATTTTGCTACCAATTTGGGTACTTCATATGACATTTTTTTTTGCGTTTACATATGTGCTTATTTCTGTTTGTTCTATGTCTGCTGTCTTCAGGCGAACTATCGGCGTAAAGATTTTTAAGCATATTCTCTCGCTTCCCTTGTTAACTTTGAATCTCAAAAAAATCTCAACCTTAAAATGTTTTATACGACCATGCAAGCTTACTCTTGTTTTTATTTTCTGCAGTCGGAACGGAGGAGGTGCCTTTTTAATTCCATTCTTTTTTTGCCTCATCACCTCCGGTGGACCTTTGTACTATTTAGAAGTTTGCCTTGGACAGTTTACAGGACAAAGTGCTGCGCAAGCTTTTGAGTTTTGTTCATTGTTCAAAGGCAAGTTTACTTGGTAATAAATGTTTACCTTTATGTTAAGAGATACTGAGGAACCTGTGCAAGAGAAGTAGTGATATTATGTCGCACCTCAATTTTTTCAGAAAAGATTTAGTAATTTCTACATGGTCGCCATGATTCAAGCATTTTGATATAAAAATCTCTATAGATAAAGTAAAGAAATGAAAATGTACTTTTGTATTATTGTGTCGATACTTTTCCGTGCATTTAATCACATTAACTCATCATAAAGAGATTTTTTAAAAGGTTTATCGACATTAAAATTTACTGTTCAAAAGTTAGTTTTATGCAGACTTTACTATTTATTTATCTGATAACAGGTTTAGGCATTCTACAAGTCATGTTGTCATTTACGGTGTTATGGTACGCGATCTGTGTTTTGGCCTGGGTTCTATACTTCTTGTACAGTTCTTTTCTACCCACACTTCCTTGGACAACATGTAATAACCCATGGAACACTGTTAACTGCACAGGTATTGTTTCGAATCGTTAATGTATTACGACTGATTAAAAAATTGAACAAAGAATTGAATAAAAAATGTTGTTTTATATATATATATTATTTTGTTTCCCAAATATTGATAAGACATAATATGATGACAAGCATGTTTGCAGATAATATTTCAAATTAAAGGACCATTGTTGAAATATCTTTTCCTGTAGATGAAAGAAATTGTCCGAACATCTATTTAAAGAAACTACGAAATTTGTTATTTTACCACCAGCCTTATTATTAAAATATAAACTCATGTGAACATTATTCGTAGGGGTGTGTTTTTATAATTTTGCTCTATGAAAACATTTTGGAGCTGAGCGTCTTGAAAACTTAATAATATGAATGCATATCTTAGAAATTAATGGATTTTGTTTTATTTTAGTAATATGGGATACAGTTTCCAATAGATTTACAAGCACAAATACAGTCACAACAAACAGTTCATCCGTAAATGAAACTATTTTAACACAATCAAAATTATACAATTTGACAAACAACATGTTGATAGATCCATCTCCAGTTCCTCAAACTAATATAACATCATCATTCATGACATCCAGTTCTTCAGCCTACGAATTTTGGGAGTGAGTATATTTTATGTAAATGATCCGAACCACGTCATCGTTAATGAAACAACGTTAAAAATGGCCAGGTGTTAACGTCTAAATAACATTGGATCTATATTCGGAGTTGAAAGTTGAAACAACATGTAGTCTTAACGTTGATTAAAATTTTAAAAATTATTTGCTGATATATAAATTTGTATTATTACATTTTTCATGCAACACTCTCATTCTTGCTATTCATGTGATAATTGCATCTTAAATAAGTATCATTTGCTTACAATTATCAAATTGTGTTCCAATACATTGTTTTATCAAAATTTTGTATTTTGCATGTATATCAGAAAGGTAGCTTTTTTCAACTCTTAAAACACAGAGTGACTCTGCAGTTTATCATCAATTTATATCAAAAAGCTAATGGCAATATCAAATATACATGACAATTTTTGTGAATCTAAAAAAAAAAGTATTCTCACACGTAGCTACGCCATTCGAGAGAATATTCTTTTTAAAGCTCACTAATTGCAATAAAATTTCATCTTACAAACAAAGAAAGAAATTTTCTTTTAATTAAAAATACAATGAAGATGCAGTTTAAATTAAAAATGATTTATTTTCTTTTAGTTTTATTGTGCTACAAACTGTTTCTCACTCTCCGACCTCTTCTAGATCTTTCTGAACATGACATGAGTGCGTCATGATGGTGTTTGAATGTTTCTCTGGTTTTCACTTGTTGCCTATGTTTAAATTTGCATTGCCAATTTTAAAGGTTATATTTAATAAAATGACATATTTTATCTTAAAATTGTTTACATAAACAAATTTTGACATCATAAAGCAAAATAACATTTAAGATGTAGCTTAAGTACCATATTGACAGCAAATTATACATTGTAGAAAAATAGAAATCTTAAAAAATCTTGAAAAGGGAGTTATTTAAAACTATCACGAATGATTAGTATAAGAACTATTCACCAATAATTACTTGCAGCATTCTTCCGAATCATGTTCATTCTAGACTCTAGTTCAGGCCATTTAATGTAATAAATTAATATGATTAAGGGCATTGTCAAACATTTACTTACAACATTTTAGGTATAAGGTAATTGGACGATCTCGTGGCTTGGAGGACATGGGAAGTTTACAGTTGCATCTTGTGATCTGCCTTTTCATTGCTTGGTTTCTTTGTGTAGCTGCCGTCATCAAAGGTGTTAAATCTCTTGGCAAGGCTAGTAGTTGCACAGTTATCAATTTTTATAAAACATCTTCATTTTTTTCAAGACACAATTTATATAAAATTTTCGAATACAGTATTTGGACACTTGACATTGAACCACTAGCTCTTTTGCGGGTCTTAATCCAATCAGGGACTTTGGATCTTCTTTCTTGCTTGTCAGAAAACAATCCAGTTAGTCGATTGTCCAACGCAGCTGTCTGTTTTTGCCAGAAATGATGGATGGGGGCACCCGAGGTATTTCTGCACCGTAAAGCTGAAAATTCGTCATATCATCTTTACAGTGTTGGTAAGACGTAACACAGTACAGAAGAGCATCGATGGCACAATTGAAAAAAACGTCTGTAGTACAAAATTTATGTAAATGACATTCTATGTTTCAGGTCGTTTATGTAACAGCTACGGCACCGTACGTTCTTTTGACAATTATTTTTGTAAAGGCTCTAACTCTTGACGGAGCAATTGATGGTCTTAAAGCATTCGTAGTACCAGACTTTTCAAAACTTCTCACAACACAGGTAACTTTGTTAAATAATCTACACTAACTACAAAATTCAATGAAATTCTTATTAAAGTTAAATGTTTTCAATTCTGTTTACTAATGTTAGTGATTTCAAATAAAAAAAAAAGATATAATTTTGTATATGTATTAGAAATAATAATAAAAAAATATATAAAAATAAAAAAAAACCTTTAAAACAGTGACAAATGAAAAGCTTTTAAGGGAACTTGAAACATGTACGCATTTGAAAGAAAAAGGATTTGAAACCTTCAAAGACATTGTTGCCTTTAAATGTTTATGTCATAAGAGTATTGATTTTTAAGGCTAAATTCCAGTATTTCATCAGCGACGCAAAACACCACAAAATCGTCAATATTTCACAAACATCAATGAAAACAATCAACATCGTAATTTCTTAAAAAGGGTTAAAATTAAAATAAAAAATGTTTGGGCTTATAAAACCCCTTTTAAAAAAAATATTTGGGGAAAGGATGGTTAGAGGAGGTCTACAGGTGTTTTTGTCTTTTGGCCTTCTTGGGGGGGAAATTAAACAACCCCCGTCAAGTTATAACAAAATTTCCCTCAAAAAAATCCCTTTTTTGGGAAACCAAGCCTGTAAAGATTTATGCTCCAAAATTTGTTTTAAATTTTAAAAGAAATTTTTTGATTTTTTAAAAGGGCTTTTTACATATAAAAAATTTAATTTAAAGGGTTTGAAAGTTTAATTATTTTAAACCTTTTTCTCTGAAAAAGGTATTTTTAAAAGGCCCCCATATCATAACAAAGCCTTATACTTTTATTTTTTTTTAAACATGTGTGTTGTATTACAGATTTTGAAAGTTACTTATATGCAATAAATACAGCTGAGCCATTTTCTTGCATTAGGTGATATGCATCTAATATGTTATTCCAAATCCATTACTAATACATTATCAAAGAATCCATTGCCTTAACCCGGATTCGAACCAACTGCTCTAATATGCAAGTGATATCGAACTAGCGAGCTTTACCATTTGGTCAAGGAGGTACGTGGGTAAAGGTAAAAGGTCGAACATTATATTACAGGTTCTCTACGATATGTGTAATTTTTGCTGGGTTCACCGCTTTTTACAATGGCATGGTTGTGTTTGCTTTACTAGGCTTTATTGCAAAATCGTCTGGCATGACCGTCGCCAAAGTAGCAGAGCAATCGGGTATGTACATTTCATTAATGTAGTAAGATTAAGCTGAGCTTAGAAACCCTAACAGTATCAAATGAAATAAAATGAAATATTGGAAAGGCGTTATAACGCAAAACAGAAGGTGTTATAAAACCTTTTCGTTCGCGTTAGAACACCTTTTTGATACGCGTAATAATGCCTTTATTTGCATTATTACGCCTTGCGTTTCACGTGACTGCGGTGTTTCGTGTAATTATGCCTTTTGATTTACGTAACAACTCCTTTATATTTTAAATTTTATATAATTTGATATTATAAGGCTTTTGTACTAAGCAAATAGATAGTGCAGTATTTACAATATTCATATTCCTTGCCAAAATAGGCAGGCAGTTCGGTGTCAATATTCTACAATAATTTAATTGATAAAATATGAAAAAAATCAATATAAACATCTGATTTAGCTGAATTGTCTAATTTTTTTTATACATATGTATGTCATTATTACACCAACATGTAAAAGGTTTTAATAAGTTTTCATTAAGATGAAGGGAGGTAATAATTGCTATGAGAACTGCATCAATAATTTATTGCTGTTAAATTAACGTTGAATTTCTTCAACAGGACCCGGTCTGGTGTTTGTTGTGTTTCCAACAGCAATTAGTATGATGCCTGTACCACATCTATGGGCAGTACTGCTTTTCCTAATGCTGATCACCGTAGTCTTTGACAGCATTGTAAGTAGTTATAATTACATTTTCCAGCGATTTTTCTTTTGTCAAGCATATTTTGTGATGTGCCCTGCTTTCTAGATGGATCTTTTCATCTGCTTTGTTTCCACATGTTTGTCAAATGTATCATAAATATTCATATGATCTCTTGACTGATATCTGTTGAAATTTAGCACTTAACAATTACGACATTTTTTAAACATTATTACATTAATCTTGTGTAGATTATTTTTACACTATTGTCGTGAATGCAAAATGAACTGCCGGTTGACGATGAAACAGAACAGTAAGCAAATTTGTTTGAGATCATGGCTACATAAAGAAAATTTTGCTTATGTTTCAGTTTCTTAACAAAACCTTTTAGAAATAAAGCAGACGACTTTTTTGTTTTCACAAATGTAGCAGGCAAACGTCCACTTTTTTAGACTTTTTTTATTTTACAAATATTGGGATCGAACGTAGACTATTTTTAGACAAACTTTCTATTAATATTGAGAAAATTGATTCTTATATATGTAGCAAACAAAGCCACATTATTTTTAGGTAACACATATATAAGTTTATAATTAGGTGTGCAAATAAGACTTGATCTAGCCTACTGTATATTTCAAGTAAATGGACAAATGTTGTTACATGTTTTAGTTTGGAATGATAGAGACTGTTACCAGCTGTATTATAGACCAATTTCCACGTCAGTTACTGAAAAGGCGCGTTCTTGTCAACATTATTACTGGATTATTTTTCTTTCTCACAGGACTTCCGCTCACAATGAATGTAAGACCTTCTAGATGTCTTTAAAAAGATATTAACTACCAAGCATTTTTTGTAACGTTATTATTTTTATATGTATTTTTATATTTATAAATTTATTAAATTTGATTTTCAATGATTATATCATAATAATTGATGAAAAAAGTATGCCTTCCATAATATTAGCCAATATTAAAAAAATATGCGTAATGTATTAGATTTTACATGTCTAGAAGCAGTTTGTAACTATGAAAAAAATTCTATGATTCAAGACGCTAATAAGCCATTAATATTGATGCTTTTGATTTAAAATAAGTTGTATCTCCTGATTGCGTGTTTCATGTTTATTTTTCAGGGTGGAATTTACCTTTTTCAGTTAGCAGACTGGTATTTCTCCTTCTTTGCTTTATTGTTTGGAGCTTTATTTGAATGCATATCAATTTGTTGGGTTTATGGTAAGCCTCTGTATTATTATCGTGAATTCTTTGTGCATTTTTCTTCATTAAACCTTTAACTGCTTGATCGGAATGCCTTCAGCCTTTGTTATTAACATGTACGTGCAGTATAACCGGGAACTATACAATTGGTGGCTCAGTTTTTGAATTTTGATTTTGAAATACCTATGACTTAAAATGTACTGTTCCACTTGCAAAGGAAAAAAAATCAAATCCATTATTCAAATTCAGAAGGTGAAGGATTAACATATACTTAAATTGAATCGATTTCATCAACCATCAGTATATGATCCAACTGTCTAACTTTATAAAATTACATAACCGAAGTCAAAGCCAAATTAAACACATTATCGTTTTCACAGATTCTTTTTATTATACAAGTACACTTAGATTTTCCTTTCATATGCAATCATTGGATGATTGCATGTTGTACTAAAATATGACACAACACTTTTTGCAGGTACTGACAGGTTTGCCCGGGATATATATTTTATGACGGGGAGGAACGTTTCTGTCGTGCTTCGCGTGTTATGGACCATTACAATACCTTTATTTGCTACGGTAAGAAAGTCCTTGAAAAGCTATTATTTCATTTGTTTGGCGTGTTGTGGTTAATTGCGTAAAATACATTTAGAGCGTCAGTGTTATTTACTTCAATTAAGTGTATATAATGGTTAGGTATGTATGCACCTGATCAAGTGAATAAATCATGACTGAAAACAAACAATGATAACTGAATTTAGATTTATACCCTGATTTTACACTGTGGAAAGCTTTCGCCGACCTCTGCCCTCCAATGAACCTTTAGGAGCTTTATTCGTTGCAATGATAGTTAGGTGCAAACGAAGAAGGCTCATCGGATAATTATTTAGTTATTTTCAACGGCAGCTATGTTATAACCTGCTAGAGCTATGTTAAATTTGGCGGACCTTCATTACTCTGAAAGCTTTTTTCGGCTGCAATTCTTTTCAGTAAGAGCTTTATTCCTTGGTAGGCAAAGTCGCTGGGAGCTATATTCTTTAGAGAGTTATATTCGACGTTAGCATTATGCGGTGTAATCCTGCATATTTCATTACGTTATTTAATTAACTGTAGAAACTTTTTTTTCAGTTAATTGGGGAAGAATGTCAAATAGCGATTTATAAGCTCGCTCTTGACATCTAAAGGGCACTAACCATTATGATACTATATTTAATTCAATAAAAACATAAAAAACACAACATGGTTATGTGTTCATTCTTTTATTTCTGACAAGGAAAAGAAAATGGAAATAGAAAAAGAATATAATGTAGTTTGTTTTTTGCAGATTGCCTTCTTAGCCTTGCTAACGCAGTATTCTGCTCCGGCTTATGGCGATGGATATGAATATAGCAAAGGGGCCATTGCCGGTGGTGTTTTTGTCGGAATGTTACCTGTTATAGCAATGATCGCTGCAGGAATCGTCGCTGTAGCTTACCAAGATGGTTCACTGTTACAGGTATAATTCCATTCAAATATTTTATTAACCCTCATCCGGCTTAAAATAGAACTTGGGGGCTTGGACAGTAGTTTGCACTTGACAGTACCGTCTATGAACAGGCTCAATCAAACCGAGCCTGCAACATTTTCAATTTTGACGTGTTTGGCTTTCTTTAGGGATTCTAATTTTCTCTATTTGAATATATTTTGCCACCATTGTAGAGCTTGCCATGTGTTTAAACACTCATACATGGCACCTCGATTTAAAGTCTCATCAGAAAGACTGATCAGTAAATTTCGCTGGCCAGCCCGGGAATCGAACAAAGAATGTCGAGATTACAAGTATTGCGCTCTAACCGATTGAACTATGCTAGCTGGCCTTGATTCATCCGAAAATATGAAAAACAAGATTAGTCAGAAAAGGTGGCGCTCAAAGAACGCAACCCCCCCCAAAGTTTGTATTTAAAATAAACATTATTATCAATATGTTTTGACTATATTTGCAGCGTTTGGCAAGCAAGTCTGAAAACTAGTGCTAATTGGGGACCGTATGAGCAAGATACTCGGGACAGATACCGTATGAAACCGTATATTTACCCATCCACATGGTGGCAAAAATTCAAAGAAAATATCACAGGAAGAAATGACGATTTTTCATTGTGAGAATGACAATATACGTGACTTTATCTAGACAAGAAGACACGAAATGGCAGAAATCTGCCACTATATTTATTTGATATCAAGTGTTGCTTCAAGCGTTTGCACCATATGACCTTCCACTAAAATAAATCATTGGATCTAAACATATCAATTTAAGCCTCGTTAACTCGTCTGATTAAAGTATAAGTCGCTTAGGCGCCGTTGTCGCTGTCGCCGTGCAAATAATTTAATGTAGCCCATCTCTCAACAATTTTAAAGGTATTAATATGAAACTTGGAATGCTTGCTTAAAGGTATCAATATGAAACTTGGAATCCTTGCTTAAAGGTATAAATATGAAACTTGGAATGCTTAGATAAAGGTACCAATATGAAACTTGAAAAGCTTGCTTGAAACTTGGAATGCTTGCTTAAAGGTATCAATATGAAACTTGGAATGCTTGCATAAAGGTATCAATATGAAACTTGGAATGCTTGCTTAAAGGTATAAATAAATTTTGTATGGAATGTAATAGTTGTTATTAACTTGCTTCTTGTTTACAAGTACAATTGAGTGTTTTCATCGCAATGCATTATAAGAACTAGAGTTGTCACAGGAGTGACAAATTTATACCACAACCTGATCTCTATAAAACAAGATATAAACTGGTATTTTGTTCTTTAAAGATGACCTTGAGTCTGCACAGTGGGTTCTGTATATAACCTTGTTGAGGTGCAAATTTAAGCCAAGTTTTAAATAATTTCCTCGATGGTTACCGGATTTTCAAATTTACACTTCATCAGGCATTTGACATTCAAGGATTACCTTGACCCTGAGCTAACGCAGCAGGTGAATGAGTTCTGCAGATTATTATTTCACAAACAACTTTTTCAAATTTCATCGTTTATTTAAAAAAAATAGCAGCGCCATCTTATACTATACGCTATTCTTAACATCGAATTGAATTGCTGCTGATGATGATACTGTGTCTGTCGTTATTGTGCCCTTTGTTTTATGTATCAGAGAGTCACTAGACGAACTGTTTGAGGCTGCTGATTCAGAGTATGTTGCTATTTCACTTGCTAAAATGATTGCTGTTAAAATTCAAACATAAAAGGCTTTCGTCTTTTTCAGTTATCGTTGGTGCTCTGAATACTTTTTCTTGTAACTGCATTCCATGCCCCTTTTTATCATGAAATAAGCCCCCCAAAAAATCCGGAAGATGATAATGTTTTATTTCGTTAGAAATGAAATTATCTCTTTAATTATATGAAAATGCAGCAAATGTTCGTTTGTTAATATACCAAAATCAGTGATTTTTATAGCATTTATTTCTACTCTTACTTCTGAAAAGAATGAGCATTTCATTTCCCAATATGCCTAGACATCCGTTACTGTGACAAAAATTAAATCATTTTTCAAAACATCTCCTTTTATGCGGACAAAATATATTATGCTTGGTTTTCACAAAAGTATGTATATTGAAGTTTCAGCCAGGGAACATCACAATGTTGATATATAGCTTTTATTTACACCAGTACTGATTTACACATGAATAAAATATAAAAAAGAACATAAATTATTTGATATTCATGCCAAATGTTATTATCAATTTACGAATTAGCTTCTCGGAATAAAAAAAATGAATAAGAAAATAATGAACGAAAATGGAAAATGTAAGGTAGACCATTAAACCATGAGGCTTGTGTGTTTATGACTCCTTTCTCATGTAGAACATGCATAATCAGAATTGTTTGGTGTGATGCATTAGATGATTCAATTGAATACCTTAGAAACCTCCCTTGTTGTTATAATAAGTATTTAGATGTAAATGTGTTGTATTAAAAGCACTTTAAAATATGTTAAAGTAAAATACTTTATCCCGGTCATTCCAGTACACCAAGTTGTCCCTATTTCAGGACTAGGTCTCAACATATTTGTTATACATTAACACTCAATACATCAATCTTATCCAATTTTGTAACGCACGCCTTCTATTCAATTATTTTTTAATTAGCATTCAATCCGTGGCCTCAACACGACTGGGCTTCTATTTCAAAACTCATCTCTATGAAGTATGAAGTATGAAAAATGAAACTAGGCATCTTTATGTCATTCAAACTTTCATGAGAGGTTGTATTTTCTCTTTAATGATAATATCACTGTAATTAACGTTTATTATATTTTTATATCACGTTGCTTGCTGCTGTGTCAAAAATCGTAAATCAATCAAGATATGTTTTTTGTAGTTAAATTGGTAATTCAAAGTTCATTTATCAGATAATTGTTCAGAATTTATACCAATTTTGCATTCACATTTAAATGTTTATGGATATTAAATCAGGTAGAGGGCGTGAATTTAAGTCCATAATAGTTTTTCAAAAGCAATTATTTAAATTTTACCGTGTCAAATGTGTATGGCAGATTTGTTCTGCTTTAAAACTCGCGCAATAGTTATTTATTAGAAGATTGTTTTCATTTCATTTTACAAAACTGCTGAAATTAAAGTGGAATTTGTGAATCTAAGTATAAACGATCAGTGACCAGGTAAAAATGAAATAACTTGACATTCTGCCATAATTGTGTTCAGCGTTATATTTTATCATTTAAACGGTATATTCTTCAAAAAAATCTTTTATAATAAAGGTTTTTTTATATTATATCATAAACATTTTCAGTATCAATTATAAGTGAAAAACGCCGGAAATAAAATCCAAATTAATGTAGGTTAGATGTGTGTTGGTTTGGTTTTACGCCGCACATACTGGTACACTGAAAAGATCATATATCGCCTTTCCAACTGAACTGGTGCAGGACAACCTCAGGTGCTCATCGGCATGGATAGTCAGCTGAGTAGTCTAAGTAAGTTAATAGGCTGCATCCAAAGTCCCTGACGGGATTAAAACCCACTATGGTGAGTGACCAGTGGTTACGTTAGGTAAAAATGACGTGAAAATAAGTGAATAAAATCAATATATCTAATAAAATGATAGTTTCATATTGGCTAGAAACTTTGCATTGTAATTACAAAACATATAATAAAATATTACAAGCACATCTTTTGAGTGTAAAATAAATTAGTTGTTTAGAGAAATGTATCGTATCTATTGGACGTCATGGGTGTGTTAAATCAGTCTTTTTCATTTAAGCGTCGAAGAGATATATAAATTTCCGTCGAAGAAATATCAAACTGTAAAAAAATACAATGCAATTATATAAAGGACGAAACTTCGTTAGTACAGAATAATCACTGTACAGAGTAAGACAGGGTAAGGGTAACATCACCATTGTACTGTAACTTTATTACAACGAAATCATTACCACCCTAAGTCAGGGAATTTACTTAAAAATATTCTGTCTTTTCCCTTGCAAACTTTCAATGAAAGGCGTGCTAATTTTTTTTCACTAATCAAAAAAGTCGTATAAATCATTAAAGACCTTTAGCTGGGTAAGGGAAAAGCCCCAAATTTTTCTTGGGCATTTATAAGGGGGGCATAGGGAAAACCATTTTCTAATGAATGGTAACATGACACAGATCGAACAATATGTAGTTATTTCATTAAGGAGATCTTTATTCCATTTGCATTATGTTGCTATGTAATAACAAATTGTATACTTTCTATATTGCATTGTCTTCTGTGTCTCTTCTCTCTTATTTGTAAAACCATTGTAGGTTGTGCTTCGACACAAAAATGGTTATGTGACGGAGCGGATAAATGAAATTTTCTGAAGTGGGGCATGAGGGGCATGGGAGAAAAATTACTTATACTTTTTTGTGAACATAATGTTTAGAGCTATTCCTGAAGTTGTGTGCTTAAACGGATCTCTTTTTATTGGTCCCCAAATCTAGAAGCTTAAGTTGTCCTTGGACCCGGAGCTATATATTTGACCTGTTTGGGTGATAAAAACAAGAATTAAGATCAACAAGGCAAAGGCAACGTTCACAGGACGCAGCACCCGACACACCAAAGCAGGACATCCAGAAGGCACCAAACCAAAACCTGGAGTAGACACAAGGGCGGTGAAAGGAGAGGGACATGTAATGTGTGAAATAATATAAATTAAAACGGGCCCATATGGGAATTAAAGGGATAAGGGCTATAAAGACGAAAAGGGTAGGGGGTTAAAAATAAGAGGGGTGTGAGAAAATACCTACCGTAAACGACAATCCAACAAGACAGACATCACAAAACATGTAAACATTCAAAAACAAGTAACAACACAGACATGAAAAACACGTGAAGGAACACAGAGGGGTACCGCCTTGGAACGGTCAGTGGTAATAAAATTACTGGGGAGTTTAAACCTGTTTTAGGCGCGCTAAACCTCCTTCTAAGCCCCAATATGTTCCTGAATAATGACATGAAAGTGTAAATAAAATTAATCCCCGCCAAGTGAAATTCTAACAATGGTCATGGTTACATTAGACGAAATAAATAAAACACATACAAAATTATATAAATATGTAGAAAAAGGTACAGCCTAATGACCATTAACAAAGTACTCGATGCCTTAAAGGAAGGCAGAGAAACAAGAAAATCACCTACAAGGGCCCGACTAAGCAAGACAGAAGACGAAAATTATGACAATTCAGTCCCAAAGGGCTTTAAGAACTGTCCATCATATGTCTAAGAATAATTGGGTCATAACCTCTTTTAATAAACCGTTTGATAATTTTAGTGAAGACGGCAGAAAAATTACTATGACCCATGATCTTACGAAGTTTGTAAACCACATCTCCATAGAAATCAGGTTAGCTAATACCTTGTCGTAAAAGAGATTTCAAATTACAATTAAATTTTAAAACTTAATCTGAATTACGATGGTAAAACTTAGTAAAATATTTACGCAATTTATGATAGCGATAACCTTGTTTAAGAAGTTTGTTAGTAATAAATAAATTGCGTTCATTAAAATCATCAACACGACTGCACGCCCTAGCAAATCTAATTAATTGAGAAATATACACACTATATGATGTTGCATGAGGTACATCTCCATCTAAATGTGGATAGTTAACAATATTAAAATCAAAATCATCTCTTTTATCGTAGATTTAGTTACTATAGTATTGTTAATGATAGAAATGTTTAAATCTAAAAAAGATGTAATCAGGTCTGAAGAGTTAGTTTTATTCAATTTAAGGTCACTGAAATATATTTTAGAAACCAACTGATCGAAATAAGGATTATTCATGTTAAGGATATCATCTAGGTAGCGGGAAGTGTTGTTAAATGCATGTATAATTTCCTGATGTGAAGTAGGGGAAAGACTTAACATAAAATCCCTCTCATAGCAGTAAAGAAATAAATCAGCTATCAGGGTGCACAATTAGTACCCATCGAATACCTATTATCTGTTTGAAAACTGTATTACCAAACCTGACATAAATGTTATCTAATAAAAACGTAAGTGCTTTACAAACTTCGCCACAGGTCAACATTGTATATTGTTTAATGATACCATTGGTAAAGAAAGCCTTCTTTGAATTACAAGCAAGAAACGTCACCTTTTCCCTTGCAAATGTTTTTAAATTAAAGATAATTATTTATCATTTATAAGATTATATGGCAATGTTGTATATAGGGTAGAGAAAACGTAAGTACTTACAGATGAAGCTTGATAATTCTTAATTTTAAACTTATCTAAAATTTCAGTTGAATTTTTAACAGGCCAAAAAAGATTTTGGCCGTATTTTCATAAACTGTTTCACAGTATCTAATGACATGTGCCTTGATGGCAGTAAGGCAAGAAGTCAATAAAATAGAAAGATTACTGGTAGTACAAGATGTAGAAATAGCATTGAAGCGGGCTTTATATGGATGTTTATGTAATTATGGAATCCAGTACATGATAGGCAGTTTAAACTCTTTCTCATCAACACGTACTTTAAAGTTAGAAATACTAGAAATATGACTGTTCACAATATCTCTTTCAGAAAGAACGGTTTTTAGAGTGGAACGCTAATATATCCTTTCTAAGATGTCGTGAAGTAAGTCTAGGTTTAGGTGGTAAAAGGTGTTCATTCCCACGATAAAATTCTAAACGTGATTCAATAATGTTAAATGTAATATGTTTCCATGTATTAAGTGCATTACTATCATCATTTTCGCGACGACACCAATTTACTGAAAAGTCCTCGATCGATTCAGCTATCTGACTTCGACAAATTCGGAATTCTTTATTTTGGTCCTTTAAGAAATAAATGACGGATTCTCTTGTCGTTTATTATATCAAAATCACCAGTGATTATATGACCAAAATCCAAGTTACAGAATTTAGAACTTTTGCAGTCTCAACTAGTTGGTGTATTAGACTCAACATCTAGGTCGGAGACAATTTTGTTATAATTGAATATGTTATTTCTGACAGGCGTTTTATAT